GAGATTCTGAAAGAGGTGGATCAAAGTCTGTAGTAAACAAAACTCCCAGATGATGCTCAGACACAACCAGACTTAGGTGCCACTGCCCTAAACAACAGTAAGCCAAGCCATTGCCTTTCTGAGAATGAGACCAACATGAAAGCAGGCATTTACCTAGTTTTTTGGTACAAGCTTGAATCATAAAAAGTGGTAATTTCATTTACATTTTCTATTTCTCTTCATTCACATTTTTTTCCCTAGAGATCTCCTTCACAGGGGTCAAGTGTTCTTTGGTCATACACATCTTGAAAAAGTTCGTGAAAACCTATGAGTAGATTTCAGATCTTTTTTTTTTTTTTGGGCATCAAAATAAACTTATATATTAATTACATTTTTCCATGAACTCCTTTAAGTCCTCTCATATATGAGCCCCAATTCCATCATAATCTCATCTTCATACACATGTAATTTTTCGTCTGCTTGTTCAGTTAAAGATGAAACTATTACTGGGTTGTCAGAAAAGTCATGACAAATTTTTGCATAGAAAAATACATCATGATTTTCCCTATTACCCGATATATTGGGTGCAAGGTCCTACTAGCACTTAGGAGGCTTTAGTACTAGATGGCACAGCTACAAAATGATAAGGACTCAACCTAGGACTAGAAGAGTAAGAACAAAATGAAGAGAGAAATCACGGCCTTGACACTAAGAAACTACTAGAAGAAATCACAAAAGAAGACCAAAAAAAAAAAATCTTTGCAATTTTAAGTCAAACAAAGGTTTCTTATACAGGAAAAGAAAAAAAGCAAACCATGAATCACAGGGGAAAAAACGGATAAACTGGGCTTCGTCAAAATTAAAAACATCTGTTCTTTGAAAGAAACCATTAAGACGACGAAAAGGCATGCTAAGACTGGAAGAAATACAAACCAGACAGATATCAAAGATATTGGGGGAACAGCAGTTAGCGTAATGGCTATGTCACTGAACTTCCATGTAGTCAACCATGGTTCAAATCCCAGACCTGGTGGTTTAAACTCACGCCGGGTGAGTGTGTGTGTATACCCAAAATCCCGAGAAGAGAATGAGGGAGAAGGGATAGTGGTGTGGCCAATCCCCCAGGGGGTGATTTCTCACTTTCTGTTTCTCTGTGTCTCTCTGTCTTTCTGGCAAGTGCACATGCCCTATAGCAAAAATCTCTCTCAAAAAAAAAAAAAAAGAAAAGATTATTTTGGGACCAGCAGTTGGTGTAATGGCTATGTCACTGTACTCCTATCTACATAGTCAACCATGGTTTGAGTCCTAGACCCAGTGGCTTAAACTCATACCATGCACAGACGTGTGTGTGTGTGTGTCCAAGATCTCGAGAGGAGAATGAAGGAGAAGGGATTGTGGCAAGATTATCCCCCTTGGGGAGGATGATTTCTCGCTTTCAGTCTGTCTTTCTGGTGAGCACACGCGACCTATAGCAAAAACCTCCCCCCCCCTCCAAAAAAAAAAAAAAAAGATACTAATGTATATTTAATCATTCTTAAATCTTAGTAACAACAAGCCAATTTAAAAAAATGTACTGATAATTCACCAAAGATATATAAGGGGTCAATGGGCATAAGAAAAGATATTCAACAGCATTAGTCACCAGGGAAATGCAACTTAAAACAACAGTGAGATAACACTACCTACCCACTAGAATAGCTAAAATAAAAAGGATCAAGAATATAGAGCAACTGGAGCACTTCTACTGATAAGAATAAAAATAGTACAACTACCTTGGAAAATAATCTGGCCATTTCGTATAAAGGAAAACATACACTCACCATGTGACTCAGCAGTTACACCTGTCTTTTTTGTAGGAACTATATTTTCCAAGCAGCCCTGAAATGATGCAGATCTCACCGCAGAAAAATTAACTCATATAAAAAACAGAAAATCCCTATTTACCAACTTCTAATATTGTACCTGGTTCAGTTAATGATCACCAAAGGATGTGGACATTCGTAGGTAAAAAGTTGATGGGGAACAAGATATTTACAGAATGACAAATCTATCATCTCTATTTTACTTGCAGGTCATAAGGGAGGAAAAGATGCAACTTTCAATGAAGAGACAGACTATCACAACCTGAACCTATGATCTAACATCACAAACAGTGGGAAGTAGATATTAAATGAATTCTCATGTGATGCAGTGTGAAGTACTATACATCCTCTATAAAGTATTCTTGCCATCTGTGTTCAACTTGAATGTAATCATGCTTTTGCATTTAACCTCCAGTTTACAGAAAATACAGAAGATAGAGGAACAAATTAAACCATACTGTGAGGAAGCCACCAAACAAATCCAAAAAGTTGAACACACTACAGGAAACTGGCCCAGTTTCTTACGAAGGTCAAAGATAACAGAAGGGTAAAACTGTAAATAAGGAAACAGTGCAGGACCAAGGATGTAATGACAGAAGAACCAACTATGTTGAACCTGTAAACAGTCCTGGGTACTACTGGAAATAGGTGCTAAATTAAGTAATTATCGTTTATTTTGTTGGATGTAACATAAGCTTTATGGTTTCATGTAAAAAAGGCTCATTATTTAGAGATGCATTACATAGAGATGTACAACTTCATGAGGTCTGTAATTTAAATATTCTGACTCTACTCCAAATAAATGAAACGCATACAACAAAAGTTTAAAATTTTTAAACTTATATAATAAGTACATTAGTGTTCACAGCATTGTTCTCTCAACTTCCCTATTTGTCTGGAAAGGTTCATGATATACATAAATGAGAGTAGTCCTAATTATTAGTAACTCTTGTTGCTTCACTTAGTCTCAAATTCCTCCAACTTCTAGGAATCAAAGGAGCATATCTACTACAGCCAAAATTCTGGTGTAAAGAATGGGGAAAGCCAGGTTATAACACCAAAACTTGACTGGTTATACAGATAGCATAATGTGATAGTTGGGACTTTAATTTTTAAAAATATTTTATAATCTAGGTCTAGATTAACTTCCAAACTTAAGTTCCCAGTTTTACAAGTCCTTTTATCACAGCTATCAGTGGTATCACAGGAGAATTAGAACATCTGATTAAATAAAATGCAGCTGACTAGCAGTATCTACTAGCAGATCAATTATGAATTAGAAAGTGCAACTGGGGCCAGCAGGCGGCATAGTGGTTAAAGGCACTGGACTCACACACGGCTGACCATGGTTGGAGTCCTGGACCTGGAAGCCTGCTGTCTCACTTTCTCTCTCCCTGTCTCTATCTCTTTCTGGTTATGAGTCTCCTATAGCAAACTGAAAAATAATGATAATAATACATAAAATAAAATGAATAATTCTTTTAAAAAAAGAAAAAGATATTGTAATCCATGAACCTCTAGGAGTCTCCAAAACTTTTTAGAGAATGTACAAAGTCAAAACTAGTTTAACAATGCTTTTTCACAGTGCTGACATTTTCACTGATCACACAGAAGCTATGTTGGGTAAAACTGCTGGCACCTTAACACAAATCAAGTTAGTTGCACCAAATCAAAGTCACTGAATTCTTCATAGTCATTGCTTATAAATGTCCTCTGTGAAACAGTAAAAGTTGTTCATCTTGAACCTTTGGTATAAATGGTTTTAATATTCTGTATTATAACATGAATAGCATGCATAAAACATTTCTCTGGTATATTTTTTAGCATGTCAACATTTAGAAGATCTGCATGACTCAGTAAACAAATATTCTCCAAATGACTAAGGCATGATGTTACAAAAATCATGCATTAATAAAGATCCGTACAAAATGCATAACAATGAATTTAATCGAACATGGAAAGAAAACTGATATAGTTTCAGATTCCGTATTACAACTACTTGTCCAGTTAAGAAACAACTTGTCCAGTTTTGATGTACTATCAAATAAAAAAAGAGTATCTACAATTACATATAAAAACTATAAATGCAATCCTTTTCTAACTACATGTACATATGAGGCCAGATTTTATTTATATACTTCAATTATATCATCACAACTGACTGCAAGGCAGTCATAATATTTCAGGTTATCTTTTATTAAGCCATACATAAAACAGATTTACAGAAACTATCAAACAGTTTTCAATCGAGAATGATTTTGTCTCACTAGGGACATCTAGCAACATCTGGAGACATTTCCAGATATCGCAGCTGCAGAAAGTGCTATTGGTGTTTAATGAGTAGAGGGTAGGATATGCGACAGCATCCTATCATGAACAGAACAGTACCTCCTTCCCACCAATCAGGACAAAACGTCAACAGTACAAGGGCTGAGAATCCCAAGATAAAATAGTACCATCCTTCTCAATCAATTTTTTTGGGGTTGGGGGAGGAGAAACACAGTAACTTTTTTTTTTTTAATAATTATTTATTTAATTTTATTTATTCACTCATTTATTTTAATTTGACCAGAGAGACACACAGAGGAGGAAAGAGAGAGTGGGAAAGTGAGAAAGGAAGCCACCAGGTCCGGGCCGTGGTCGGCCATGTGGGAATGTGCAGCACCTCAACCACCACGCCACTTGCTGGTCCCAGCACAGTAACTTTTAATAAAAATTGTTATTCATATTAGTATGTAATGGGTTAATTATTGCTATTTAAAATTAATATTAAATATTTTTAATACTTTTCAGTTTTAATTTATAATTCAGTAACTATCAATATATAACTCAAATCAACAGAGCCTGGTTAGGGTCTTCAATAATTTTTAAGAGTGTAAAGTAGTTGTGAGACCAAAAAGTATGAAAAATCACTAAATAAGAATAATGGTATAACTAACAAAGTATGTTGGGTAAATAAGAGAAATTGAAGGATTCTAAAGGAAAATGTAGTCATTAGAAGAATATTATGGATAACTCAAAAAAAAAAAAAAAGCCTTATAAAGTCAAACAATTAAAAAGAAAAAAAAAATTACAAAAGACTCAAGATGTCACTCTGCCATTCTTTCCTCAAAAAACAAAACCAAAAGTATCCATAACATTAAAAGCACAACTTCTTACCCTGGCTATGAGGACTTGCTGGACTAAGCAATGGCTGATGCAAATCTCTGGTTGGTGTTGGATAAGCTTCTTTCCCTTGGCGCTGACTCATCTTTCCTGGTGTCAGAAGTTGAGATTCGTCACTGTTTGCTACAACAGCTTAAGGAAAGAAGAGAAAAATAATTAGTACTAAAGGCACAGATTTATACAATGGCATAGTTAATAGCATGGAATAAAACTATACTGAAAATATTCATTTTACCAACTCAGGACATAAATTCACATAATTGTTTTGTTTTTATGTTGGTTTGCTATCAAATTAAGAAGAACTGACAGATATGCATGAGTCAAAATACAAATTACAGACATTATGAGAGAGAAACTACATAACCAACTGATAATGAAAGCCATCCAAGTTTTACTGTGCTATTAGCTCTTGACATTTGCCAATAGAAAAGCAAAAGACAAAGTCATTTCACAGAAAACAAATGTCAATAAACATATCAAAAGATATTCAGCCTCATTAATAACCAGAAAAATAGTAATGATGAGCAGTATAAAATAATATTTTACATTTACTAGAATTTCTACTCTAATTTCTAATTTTCATGGAAAGTATTTGGCTACTGTTTCAGAGATGGGGAAACTTGAGGTTCAGAGATTACTTAGCCTAAGATTAGTAAGTAAAAAAGGCAAATTTCTAGCTCAGGACCATTCTTGCTCCCAGTAACCAATTTAAATAGTGCATTGAGGGTCCTTTTCTCCCATTTGGCCAATCCATTAACATAAAAAAGCAATATTCACTTTCAGAGAGGATAGAAAAGCAAAAAATACTCAAAGAAGGGCAAATCCACAGTGCCCAAGGATCTCTATACTATTTCTGCCTACAAACACTCAGTTTCATTTTTTAAAAAAATGAGCTGGTCTTCAGACTAGGTTTAATTTTTCAACCTAAACAGCTAGAACTTCACATTCTTCTTCTTCTTCTTCTTTTTTTTTTTTTCCTGGAGGGTATATGTGCTTGCCAGAAAGAGAGAGAGAAGAAAGTGCTCCTCCCATCAATGAAGAATTATCATACTATAACATCTTTCTCTTCATCTCTCTCCCTCCTCTTGGAATTTTGGGCATGCACATACCCCCTACTGTGTTTTCTCAAGATACAGGTCCAGGGCTTGAACCATGTGATCAGTCATGTGGGATTCTATTGCCTTAACCACCAGGCTATGGAGTAAGCCCCACATTCACATTTTTATCACCATTTTTAAGTCAAAGTCTTTTAACATATTTTTCATAGCATTAAGGTTTTTTAAAATTACATTTTAGATCTTTATATTTATTTCAAAGTAAAAATATAAAAACACTCATTTATAAAGATATAAAAATTTTGTCTGCACCAAGTCAATAAAAAAAACCAAAAATATAGATTGACAACTCCCATATTTATATATCCAGCTATAATATCTACCTCTAAAGTAAAATTCAATATCCAATTGTGTATTTTATAATCACCTCTTTATTATTTAACAAGCATCTCAAATTTATCTAGAACATAAGTCTTTTTTTTTTTGTCATAGGGCACATACAGGGGTGTGTGTGTGTGTGTATGACTGAGAGAGAGAGACTATCCCCCAATGGGCATGGTCATGCTGCAATCCTTTTTCTTCCATTTTTCCATCTTGCCATCATTTGGGACAGGCCTACACAACAGGCCTACACAAATGCCTGGCGTGTTTTAAGGCATTGGGGCTGGGATTCCAACTGCAGTCACCCACATGGGAATTTAGTTCCCTATTTACTGTTCTAGGAGATAGGCCAGTCACGAGGACATAATTCTTGATTCTGCTTATCCTCCGAGCCTGTCTCTCTCTCATCTGTGTGTGGCACCATTACTCTCCTCCTCCCCACTCAATCTCTCAGGACAAAAACTCTTTCTCTCACACTTTATATCCAATTCTGCTGTAAAATTCTGATCCTACCTTCAAAATTTATTTGGAATCCTATCAGTTATCCCCACTTCCACAAATATTACCCTGATCCCAAGACACTATTACATTCTTACTGGACCACAGTAGCAGTTTTCTACTGGTTTACGATCTTACTCCTTACTGCATAGAATCAGTTCTATATATAAATCCAAGTGATCTTTTAAAATCACAAATTTTATTTGCATCATGTAAAAATATCCTCAATGACTTCATTACACTTAAAATAAAATTCACAACCTGAAGATTAAGTAAGGTCTGGTGTTTGCTTATATTTTCAACCACATTCTCTACCACTCTTCTATTACTCACTTGACTCCTTCCATAATAGTCTTCTTGATATTCCAAAAAACATGCCATTGTGCCCCAGGGCCTTTATATCATTGTTCCTTCTACCTGGAATACTCCTACCTCAGATCTTCAGATCTGGCTCCTCTCATTTGTTATCTGTGCCCAACTGTCCTTTCTCCAGAAAAGTCCTTTGGTTTTTTTGTGGTGCTTTTTGGTAAATATATGGTATAATTTACCAATTCTTTCATGGTTAATGCCCACCACTCCATGGTTCTGCTCTACTACCTTATCCAAAATGAATTTCACTGTAGCTCCTATCTCTTGTCTGTTTCCCTCCACTAGACCTTAAATTTCATAAGAGAATAGAGTTTTGCCTGCCTTATTTTTCCCATACTCAGATCTTGGTATACTTCCTGGTATGTTGAAATGTTGCTTCCTGGCACATTAAAGGTGTTTAAAAATTTTTTGTTTAGTAAATTACTCAACCAAGTTTATACTTTTATTAAGCTTATCGTAAAATATTTGATAGCTCCTTCAGCTCTAATTCCAAAATTAATTTGATTCCTAAAAGTAATTATTACATTGAAGATGTAAAGTATTATAGCAAAAATAGACAAATTGACTAAAGAACATAACAGATAGGCCCAGCCATGGTGGTACAGCAGTAGCCCACGTTACTATCAGTTGCTGAGAAAGTCATGATGCATTTTTGCATAGAAAAATACATCACAACTTTCCTGGTGACCTAATATGATGCTAAATTGGTGTTTGGTTCTTGAGTCGGTCTGTGCATACTGGGCACATGTATGTGTGCTCATGAACTTGGCTGGTTGAGAAGGCCAGGGCGGGGATCATGGCATGAGACCCCATTGAGAATGCCTTTCATTCTCTCTCTCTCTCTCTGTCTCTAACATGAAAGAAAGAAAGAAACAAATCATAAGCGAGAGCTCTCAGAAAGATCCATAAATATGCATAGCCTATATATATGAGAGAGGTAGGGAAAAGAAAGACTACTTAATTAATAACATTAAGATATCTAGTTATCCATATTAGAATCATAGACAGACCCCTACCACATACAACAAAGAAAGTGTCATGAATTTTAAAGACACAAATATAAAAAGCAAAACTTGAGGGGCCAGCAGGCACAGTGATGATTAAGGTACTGGATTCCCACATGGCCAACCATGTTTCACATCTTGGACCCAGTGGCCTGAAAATTATGCCAGGCATGTATATGCAGCATGGCCATACCCTCTGGGGAGTGATGTCTCATTTTCTCTCTCCATCCCCTGCAAGCACACATGCTGTATGGCAAATAAATAAATAAATAAATAAAGCAAAACTTGAAATCTTTTAAAAAATAGAAGAATGTCTTTATAATCTTTGGTTAGGGTATAATTCATTAAAAAAAAACACACAGAAAAGTGCTAATGCAAAAAAAAGAAAATAGAGTTGATAAATTCTACTATATTAAAATTACAAATTCACTTAATCAAAATATGTCCTCTAAAAAGTGAGAAGAGAGATAGCAGGCCCACAAGCATCCCTAAAACTGGATGTCCCTAAAGCTAGACGGACCTTCTGTAAGGTCCTTCTGTTGCTTGCCACACACAGTACAAAAAGGGCAAGGATCCTCTGTGTGCTCAGGGAAAGCAGCATTATGATAGGAAGCAGAGTGGTTATGGTGGGCAGATTAAGCCTATTTTCTAGAAAAAGGTAAAAACTACAAAGATGGTGCTGAGGCTTGAAAGTATTAAGCCCAACTGCAGATCTAAGAGAAGGCCGGCTATTAAGAGATATAAACATTTTGAACTGGGAGGAGATAAGAGAAAGGGTCACGTGACCTAGTTCTAAGCCTTATCTTTTTTATTATGAAGACAACAAAATCTTGAGGTGAATGCTCACCTCATTTGATTATAGTTGGTCTTTTTGTGAGAGAATAAAGTAATCAATCAATAAATAAAATTCCCCTTTTGGGGAAATTTGATTCATGGTTAAAAAAAAACACTGAGAAGGCAGAAAACAAGAGAAAATATTTTTGACACATACATGTAATTAGCAGTGGTTGGTATACATAATATTCTAAAAAAAAGTAGCTCTTCTAAATCAATCAGAAAAGACTAACAACATAATAGAAAAGTAGACAGAAAATTATTTCATGGGAGAAGAAATACAAATGGTCCAAGTATATGAAAAGATGTTCAGCCTCCTTAATAATCAGGAAAATACAAAGCAAGATCACAATGAAAGAAATACATTCTGTAAATTGACAATTCGTAAGTTGGATAAATCAGATGGGATGGGATCAACGAGATGTCTTAGGCATTATTAGTAGACTATAAACTGAATCAAATACATTGGAAAACAATTTGGAAGTATCTTATATAAAATTCCATTTCAGTACCCTCCATAGGTCTAACATTCTACTCTTAAATTTATACACAGAGAAACTCTTGCGTGCATGATGAAGAGATGAGAATAAGAATGTTCATAACAACACTTCATAACAAAGCAAAAACAACTTAAAATGTTCATTATTTAAGAAAATGGATTAATAAAGAAAGTAGATTAATAAATTGTGTCACATGCATACAACAGAATAGTATTCAGCACAGAAAAGGAGAGATCTATTTGTATACTGAAAGCATGGCTGAACTGTAAAAATAAAACATTAAGAATAAAAACGAAGTCTTAGCAAATTACATATAACATAATATCACTCTTATATTATAAAATTAAAAACTAAGCAAAATTTAGTGATGTATATCTGATTGTCAATATGAAAATAACAAAGTAATAGAAAAATATAACAAAAAATATTTTTAGGGACCAGCAGATGGCATAATGGTAACCTTGCTGGATTCCCATGTATTCCACTGCATT